AAAAGTGCTAAATCCAAGTCAAGTAAGAGTTCAACCTTCTACATCTGACTCTTACGTAAGCATTGTAAAGCAGTTGGAGTTAAAAAACACTGAATTCTACACTTACAAACCAAAAACAGAGAGAAGCTTTAGGGTTATATTGAAAAATTTGCATCATTCAACCGATATTGATGAAATCAAAAATGCACTTCTGGAGCATGAACATACGGCTGTAAACGTTTGGAACATTAAACGTAGAGGGTCAGGTGAACCTCTCCCCATGTTTATTATTGAACTTGCACCAAACCTAAATAATAAGGATATTTATTTGGTTAAGAAACTCTTGTATACTACAGTTACATTTGAACCACCTCACCCGAAACGGGAAATCCCTCAATGTGCAAACTGCCAACAGTATGGGCACACAAAAGGATACTGTCACCGCAAACCTAAATGCGTCAAGTGCGCTGGAAATCATGCTTCTGTAAATTGCGAAAGGAAAAGCAGATCCAATGATGTCAAATGTGTTCTATGTGAAGGAAATCATCCGGCCAACTACAAAGGATGTCAAATATACAAAAACCTGCAAAAAAAAATGTATCCCCAACTAAGACCTAGGGCGCCGGAAGTACAAATTCAAGAAAATCCTCTTCCTTCGCTAAACAAAAAACACATCACGACTTCTCATTCACCTGAAACATTCGCACAAATAGTGAAGTCAAACACCAGTAGCGAAACAGAGGAGAAGCTTTCACCAATTCCAAATAATTTTGTGGAAGAATTCCGTGAGATGACATCACTGTTGAAGCAAATGATGCAACAAATCGTAGTAATGACAAATTTACTGATCAACTTGACGACTAAACAAAATTCTTGATTTAGTAGTAGTCATATGGAACGCTAATGGTCTATCAAAACATGCTATCGAAATAAAAGCATTTTTAAAATTAAACCAGGTCGACATAATGCTAGTATCAGAAACCCATTTCACGACGCGTAGTTTCTTTAAAATTCCGAACTACGAACTTTATCACACAATGCATCCCAGTGGTAAAGGAAATGGTGGCTCTGCGGTTCTCATAAGGAACTCGATAAAACATTATGAAGCAAAACCATATTGCAAGAATGAAATCCAGGCAACAAACATTGTAGTACAAACTAAAGAAGGCGACATGACTTTCTCATCACTCTACAGCCCACCGCGCCACAGTATCACGAAAGATATGTACATATCATTTTTTTCAGCTGCTTGGATCTAGGTTCCTAGTAGGCGGAGATTTTAATGCTAAACACTTAAAATGGGGTTCCCGCCTAATATCTCCAAAAGGACGTCAACTCTTCGAAGCAATAAATGTACTCAACCTCCACACAATCTCAACAGGTGAACCCACATATTGGCCAACAGATAGAAGAAAAATACCTGACTTAATTGATTTTGCGGTATCAAAGGGGGTACGTATTGAAACAACTACCTGTAAGTCCAATTTCGACTTGTCATCTGACCACTCGCCAATAATAATCACTCTCAATGACTGCTGTGAAATTATGGAAAAATGTATTCTTCATAATAAAAACACTGACTGGAATAGTTACCGTCAACTAATTTCAATTGGTCTAAATACCGAAGTCAGGTTAAAAACTGAATCTGACGTAACTGAAGCAGTAGAGCATTTCAACTCTTGTGTCCAAATGTCTGCATGGGAATCAACTCCACCAATTTCTAAAAGTGTTAAGCTAGATTATCCATTTAACATTAGATACCTGATTAAAGAAAAGCGTAGGATGAGAAAACATTGGCAACAGTCGAGATTCCCTGCGGATAAAACTCGCTTAAACAAACTGTGTAAACTCGTTAAAGCCCTTCTTTTAAAGTATAACAATAATCGCACGTCGCTATACCTTCAAAACCTAAGTGCTTCATGTGATACAAAATATTCCCTTTGGAAAGCCATAAAAAAGAACAACAGACCGATTGTCTATCCACCACCTATACGCAAAATCGACAACTCATGGGCAAAAAGCGATATTGAAAAAGCAGAAACATTTGCGTTACATTTGGACCAGGTCTTTAAATCAAATGATAACCAAAATATGCCTAATGTCATGAATCAAAGGATTAATTTTCTACAAGAGCCTTATCAATTGGAACTTCCAATTAAAAGATATACTATTAATGAAGTTAGAGATGTAATAACAAAGTTAAAAGTAAAAAAAGCTCCAGGATACGATTTAATCACAGGCATGGCCTTGCAGCAGCTCCCACCAAAAGGATTTGTATTTCTCACTCATCTATTTAACGCTGTGATAATAAGGGGGTTTATTCCGCCACAGTGGAAGATAGCACAAATCTCCATAATACCGAAACCAGGGAAAAGCCCAGAAGACGTCAAATCATATCGGCCAATAAGTCTACTTCCGATCCTGTCAAAAGTTATGGAAATCCTGTTTCTAAAGCGCCTTACTCCGTTTATCCAACAAAACAGACTCATACCTGACCATCAATTCGGCTTTCGCCAAAAACATAGCACAATAGAACAAATTCACAGACTTGTCAGACATATCCATAGTGCGATAGATGGTAAAAAATATTGCACTGCGGCATTTATAGATATTTCACAAGCGTTTGATCGAGTATGGCATGAGGGCCTCCTGTTCAAACTAAAACTGTATCTACCTCTAAATTTTTTCATATTTATAAAATCATACCTCTCGGCTAGGCACTTTTTCGTTAAGCATGGAAACGAAACTACAGTACTTCATGTTATAGAAGCAGGAGTACCTCAAGGTAGCATAATGGGACCAATGCTTTATCTTTTATTTACTGCGGATCTTCCCCTTACCGATGAGAGTGTTATCGGTACATTTGCAGACGACACAGCTATTTTATCAGTTGACAGTGACCCAATCAGTGCTTCCACCAAACTTCAAACCTGCCTTGATAATGTTGCTCTCTGGATGATAAACTGGCGTATTAAACCGAATGAATCAAAATCTGTCCAGGTAACATTCACTACAAAACGTTCTACGTGCCCGCCGGTCTTAATTAACAATACTCAATTACCACAAGCTGTAGAAACAAAATACTTGGGCATACATCTGGATAGTAAGCTAACCTGGAAATCGCACATATTCAAAAAGCGTAAAGCCTTGGGTCTTAAATTACGAAACTTATTTTGGTTCCTCAGCCGAAATTCCAAACTGTCACTCGACAATAAGCTGCTTATATACAAATCTGTACTTAAACCTATGTGGAGTTATGGGGCCCAATTATGGGGTACAGCAGCAGACTCAAACCTGGCAATTATACAGCGCTTCCAATCTAAAACACTACGAATGATCACAAACGCACCTTGGTATATAACGAATGAACAGCTACATAAACAATTACATGTTCGAACAATCAAGGAAGAAATAGCAAGTATTTTAAAGAATTACGCTCAACGCTTATATATGCACCCAAACCCTCTGGTTACTCAACTGATGTCCCCTTCCAATACCTTTACAAGGCTGAGAAGAAAAACATCGCGAGACATTTTAAATATGTATATGTAGACAATACACTTTTATTTTAAATATATATGGATATGTCACTGGGCATAGTCCATACGTGCCTTTCTTTTTATATCGTAATAACCATTATTACGATTTAAATTTATATATATTACTTATTGTCATTCATTCCTGACAGATTGTAATAAATAAATGGATTTCAAAAAAAAAAA